TCTGCAGTCTGCACTCCGAGAGGCGCTGTGGTATTTGATAGGACGCTGGTCATCGGCTCCTGATTGTGTGCAGGTCAGGGCTTACCTCACCCAGCCCTGAGGTCCCACACCCAGGCCCCTGGCTCGCAGGATTCCTGCTCAGCAAATTCTTCTTTAAAACAAAAGGTAAACTACACACTTTTTCCTTATTTTACCTTTTAAATCACCATTTATCCCCCCTACACCCTCTTCCACCTCCATCCACCCTCCTCCCCCTGCTCAGTAAACTCTTATTTGAATTTAATGTCTTTGATGCTGACCACCGAGGGCCAGCAAGCTTTAGGAAAGTGACTCGTCATCCTTTATCGGCATTTCATAAAGAAAGACGGGCTGAGCATGTGAAGAGACGCTCACCGACAAGGACACACAGATGCCAAGAGACACATGAGAAGATGCTCAAGGGCACTATTCGCCAGAGAGCTGCCAACGAGAACCACAGCGAGGTGCACCTCACACCTGTCAGAACCGCCGCCGTCAATAAACCAACAAACAGCAAGTGCGGGCGAGGATGTGGAGAAAAGGGAGCCCTCGGGCTCTGCTGGTGGGAGTGCATGCGGCGCAGCCCCAGTGGAAAGCAGTACGGAGGTGCCATAGACTAAGTCATTCCACTGCTGGGTATGTATCCGAAGAAAAGGTATGTGCACCCCTATGTTCATTGCAGCATTATCTGCAACAGCCAAGATATGGAAGCAACCTAGGTGTCCATCGATAGTGAGTGGATAAAGAAGTGGTACTTATGTACAATGGGATATTACACGGCAACAAAAAAGAATGGAATCTTACCATTTTCAATAACACGGATGGACCTAGCCAAGTGCCATATGATTTCCCTGATACGTTGAATCTAAAAAACAAAACAAGACAATGATGAAGCAACAAAACAGAAGCAGGCTCATGGATGTGGAGCTGATGGCTACTGAAGGGGAGGGGGAACGTGAAAAAGAAAAATAATAGACAGGCCGACAGAAAACAATTTAAAACAACTATAAATCCTGGGCAAGACAGAGCAAACGAGTGTGCGAGGCCCTGGGAGCAGCCCGAGGGCGGGAGGAAAGGAGTCTCACCGGCCTGGCCCCCACAGCGTCCGCAGGGGCCCCGGGGCTGAGACGCTGTCGGCCTCGCGTGAAGAAGCTGTGACACTGTGTGAGTGTACACAGAAGTGACTTCGGTTTCTACATGACATGATCAGTGTCAGAGAAGTTGTCTGTTTTCCCCCAGGTGAGGCCTGCTCTCCACAGCCATCCACTCTACCGACTGCGTACAGACGGCCCGTCCTAATCCAGCTGGGGGGTGTCACCTGAACACTGTGTGGACGAAAAGGGGCCACATCCTAACCCAGTGATGGCGAACCTATGACACGCGTGTCAGAGGTGACACGCAAACTCATTTTTTTGGTTGATTTTTCTTTGTTAAATGGCATTTAAATATATAAAATAAATATCAAAAATATAAATATTTGTTTTACTATGGTTGCAAAGATCAAAAAATTTCTATATGTAACAGTGCACCAGAGTTAAGTTAGGCTTTTTCAAAATGCTGGCAAGCCGAGCTCAAAAGGTTCGCCATCACTGGCCTAGGCCCTAACATAGCCATATGGCTGGAGCTCAGTAGGAACCTTGGAAAGTGACATGATCTTAAAAGTGGCTAAAATGGCCCTAGCCAGATTGGCTCAGTGGATAGAACATTGGTCTGCGAACTGATGGGTCACAGGTTTGATTTTAGTCAAGGGCATGTGCCTAGGTAGCAGGCTCCATCCCCAGTAGGGGGTGTGCAGGAGTCAGCTGATCAGCAATTCTCTCTCATCATTGATGTTTCTCTCTCTCTCTCCCTCTCCCTTCCTCTGTGAAACAAATTTTTAAAAAGTGGCTAATATTAAAGATCAAAGAAGTTTCCTAAAGCACAGGGCCTAAAAGAGCTAAAAGCATTTTGAAAAAGAGAATCAAAATTGTAGGCCTTACTACCTGACTTCAGGACTCATTCTAAAGCTACAGTAATCAAATCCTGTAGTATTGACATAAGGGTAGACATGTAAGTAAATGGAACAGAAAAAGAATTCCAGAAATACACTCAAAGTCATATGGCCAATTTATTTTCAAGATGTTGTGAAAAAAAATTAATTCAATGTAGAAAGGATTGTATTTTCAACAAATTTTGCAGGGACAATTGAATATCCCTATGCCAAAAAAAAAAGTTCTTAGCTCTAACATCATATGCAAAAATGAACTTAAACTGGATCATAGAGCTAAATGTAAACATCAAACCATAAAACTTCTTGAAGAAAACAGGATCTCAAATTAGGCAAAGATTTCTTAAATAGAATCCCAAATTACATATTATGAAAGGGAAAATTGTTGAATTAGACTTCATCAAATATTAAAAATTTTATTCTTGAAAAGATAGTGCCAAGAAAATGAAAAGGTCAGCTTTTTCAGACTATAAGATATAACCAACAAAGGATTTGAATCCAGGACATATAAATAACTCTTTAACAAACAAAACAAAACAAAAAAAGAGATAGCTCAATTAAATAAGGGTAAAAGATTTCAATAAATACTTCACCAAAATGGATCTGTGGATAATGGCAAGTAAATGAAAAGATGCTCAGTACCATTAATTATTAGGGAGATGCAAATTAGAATTGCAAGAAAAACCATTAAATGGCTCCTAAGAATAGCTATAATTAAAAAAAACAACAACTAACAATACCAAGTATGGGTGAGTATGCAGAGCAATTGGAACTTTCAAACATTGCTAGTGGAAATATGAAAGGGTACAACCACTTTGAAAAATACTTTGACAGATTCACAAAGCATCAAACATGCAGTTACGTTCAATTAATATGACTTAGTAGTACTTCTTTTAGTATTTATCCAAGAAAAATTAAAAATATGTTCACCCAAATATTTGTATGAACATGTTCCTCATTGTTTTTTTTTTCAAAATGAAAATAGCTCACTGCCTATGAAAAGGCAAATAGATAAATCAGCTGCTTATTCATACAAGGAATACTTCTCAGCAATAGAA